CGTCATCCAAGGTCATCCCAAGGTCACTCAAGGTCATCCCAAGGTCGAAAGTGGAGGGGGGAGTCTCAGCACCGGCTATAATAACCTACTGATAGAATAATTTTAGCCTATTTTTATATAGAATCAAATATACAAACGGAATTACTGGACACCGTGTATGATTAAAAGAGGTTTATTTTATGATATATTTTAGAACTACCTGAAGTATATTCAAGTAGAAAACCACATTAAAAATTCAAATTGAACACAAGCGAAAAACAGCAAGTTAAATGGTATATTTAGATTTAGTTTATTTGCACTATACGTATATTTTCAAGAGAGTAGATAGATATACACTAATCTAAAAGATACGAAGATATTCAGCGTAATAAACACATTATTGTTATTGTATGTATTTATTTCTTAAATTATTCTATTTGTTTCAAATTTAAGTTTATTTACATTTACTATGGATTCTTACCACATTTATAGATATTTCCTTTTCCCATATTCCATCGTTTAAGATACCAGCGTTATTAATAAGAATATCGACATAACCAAACGTTTCAATAGTTTTTCTAAATGCATCTGAAAAGAAATATTATTTAGGGATTTTATACAAATGGAAACGATTCGTTTTCAATATAGAATGTGTCCAAAATTAACGAAAATGTATGATTTATTTCAAGTTGCAAACTACAAATGAGGGAAACCGTATAAATAATATTTTATTTCGTTCATAGACGTAATTACTTGAATAATAACACAGCTCCACAAAAAAATAAAAGTCGTTATTTTCTTGTGCAAATGACCAGAATACATTATTCCCATGTATTTTGAACCACTGAATTCGAATCCAAGTCAGAATTGACCCGCAAATCACCAAGTTTTCTAACATCAAAAAATGCTTTAAAAACCTACACAATCGACAAATCGGCATTTAAAAATCTAGGTATGATTTATCAGCGACTAAAACCAGTGATCAGATCTTTATATTTCCATGTAAACTGAACCCACTGAACATGAACCGGAAGTCGGATTTGGCCCATAAGGTCACAAATCCTTCTTAACTTTAAAAAACCCACAAAATTAATTAATTAGTTTCTACGATCCAGGTCGGATTTGACAGCGACGAAAAATCGCGGTCTAACACAACTCTAGTCTCTTTTTGCGGATTTTTCACGTAATAATTGTAAAACATCTTGCATGGTTCACTGTTTCACCTTGATCAAGAATTCAGAATATACAATTCCATTTATGTCGAAAAAAAACAGTGAACATTACTTTGATATTAGATCGTAACGGTAAACCTAACTTTCGTCTCCCGTTACGATCCTTTGAATGAATGTTTCATCATCATTAGATTGTTCAAGGAGTTACAGACAAACGTCCATACAATTTTACGGTCATCAAACGTGGAACAACTCAATGTATGTCCAATTTTTCATTCAAAATTTCATGGCATGACCCAATTGAGATGCTAACCTTCTCTGCAATTTCTCCGAGAGTCAATCGGCGAGTTGCACGCCCAGATCTTTGGCTTTATGAACGTGAGAGTCATCAGTTGAAGTCAAAGGCCTTCCTGGTCGAAGATCATCTTCAATTGACTGACGACTACTTGTAAATCGTGAAAACCATTCGTAACGTTCACCTCCGTAAGCTTGTTTCAAAAGTTGAAACGTTTCCGTGAAAATTTTCCCCAGTTTCACGCAAAATTTTACGGTGAATCGTTGTTCCAGAAATTTCGCACATTTCAAAAATCGTTAGTGACGCTTAACCACATTGCATAACAATATCACGAAAACTAAATGAAATATCAACAATCCAAGAACATGTGGTTTATGGGCAACGCAATGCTGCCAACCGCATATCACTAAATGTTCGGTTAATTTCTAGCCAGACCTCGTATGCACGAATTATTATTGTGAAATACTGATAATAAGCATAAGTCTTCCACATATCAGTAATTTTGTTATTGTTACTAAACATAGGTATTACATAAAAAAATATATTTATTTTTATTTAAACGATATTTTGAAAATTAATTTACTAAGTAGTAAGTAAATAGTTTTTGCTTAAATTTTAAATGTTATCATATTTGAATTTAATATCTGGACAACCTTATTGATTAATTAAAATTTAATTTACCTTCAAACTGTTTAATATTGCTCACGTCCGTTGTCACAAATATCGTCTTATCGGGTCCAAATTCTTTGTTCATTTGTGATAAAGCCACGTTTCCCAATCCTGAATCGATATCAGCTAGAGTTACACCCTGTAATTATTATACAAACAAATTACTACGCAAATATTTCATCACAAAACATCAAAAGATGAATTAGCATGTATCTAACAATACGTATTAGATACAGTGTATGAATTTTATTTTTAGATGCAAATATAAAACAAAAAATTTCTTATAGGTATATGGAACTACCACACACTTAGGGTATAAAATGAAACGATTGAATACAACTTACTTACATCCGAAGTTGCTTCATTCACGTGCTAGAGAGTATCAACGTTAAATAGAATTTGACCAGTATTTGTACACATACTTTTAATCATTAAAATAATGTTTCTTACGATTTTCGCGTAATTAATTTATTTTAACACCACTGCATTTTCGATGCAAATCGAAGCAAATATTACCGAAAATTGGACTTATTTCATAATAAAAATTAGATAATGCTTTGTGGATTTCAGAAACCTTGTAATCGTAGCTTTTTTCTTGAAAGTTACTGAAAATGATCACCATTGTCAGTAACTTTCAGTCACAAAACAGTGAATCGTTTTTATTACAGATATTTCTTATTTGACAAAATAAGTATGGTAGTTCAAATTAAAATTCTGGCTTACTAATACAAAATATATAATAAAAATATATAAGAACAGATATCCAGAGCCAGGCCCGGCTCAAGGGGGGCTACGGAGGCTGTAACAAAAGCCGGGACGCGTAGTAATTTATTTGTTAGTTCTCGGAACGGATGGGCCAAAAAGTAAAAGATTTCAGTCAACACTAATTATCGAAAGTTAAGGGCTCTCAAGTAGGTTTAGCGTCGTCCTTCGGAAAAAATTTAGCAATATTTTTTTAACAAGTTGACTTAAACTATCGGGGCCATGTGTTGAGCAGGTATAAAGAGAAAAACCGATATTTCAAATAACGCGCGAAATGCATTCCAAAGAACGTAGAAATTCCAAGAATAAGTTGTTAGAATGTTGTGAGAAAAAAGAAAGTAATAGATCAAATAGCTGGTTTTTAGGCGGATTTTCCAAGCTATAAGGATAGAGTAAATGAGATTGACTAATCCGTCCCGTATTGCTACACGGAGTCATTAGAGGAAGGCTAGGGTTACTTGTAAGTTCAGTTAGTCACAGAATTATTCATATAAATGTAAGTCCAGTCAATTAGGTAATTATAAACATAGTATAGTTATACCAAAGCGTCCCAATATTCATATTTCCTCCAGTAAGATAAGAACATAAACGTTTGGACCCAAGAAATGGCTGTGTCAAAGCGAGGTGTCAAATTCAGGAGAGATCTCCAAAAAAAACAGACAGTTCTTCCTTAGGTTTCACATTGAGCAGTCTACTTAGTTTTAGAGTCTCGGGTTAATTTAATAATGGATCAAGTTATTCCAAATTTTGCTATGGATCGTGCATTCCCTGAATCTCGGTGCGCTGTCGCGTGTTAATAAATTAATAATGTTTTTCGAGCTCGTTGTGTCGTTATTTTGTTTGTTTGTTCTGTTTTTATTGTTATTAAAAACCCTTCCTGGAAAGTTTTGGTGTTTCTTTTTGTTTCTTCCAACTTCAGTGTCACCCTGTACGGCCAGTCACTGGATTACATTCTACGTAAGCAATGGATGGTGAGTGCCTGAAATTAATTCTCTGAACATACAACATTTCTAAGTTCCCACGTCCCTTTCGAGAATTGAATAATAAACTCTTTTGAAATACAGACTCGTTATGATACTGGTCATAACGATATACAGGGTGGTCCGAATTTTATGCAGGAAACTTCGAGGGTAGATAGATCTCTTTAAAATAATATGTGTTTGCTTTATAAACATAGGTCTGGAACGGCCCCGTTTTAGAGATATAGGGTGTTGAGGTTTAAAAAAAAATTAATTTTTTTTATATCGCACACTACCTCACAGGTGGTGTAGAAAGGAGTGTAAATAATTTTGTTGATGTGCTTACAAATTGCACTTACTTTTAAACATAAACAAATATTCTTGTAATATTATCGTTAGAAGTGTCTGCCACAAGGGGATTGTATTGGTATGAATAACTTGAGAATGGCGAATCTTAGGAAAAAAATTAAAGTCACCTTTTTTACGTATTTTGTGCATTAAAATATAAAACAGTTACAATGACATGTAAAAAATGCAGTGGCGTAGGTTTTTTTGTAAAAAAGGGGTGACCCCTGTCCAGTTGTACACCACTGGTTGAACCTTTAAAGCTCATATTTCAGGGAATATAAGGCCTACTATCATACATTAACTATATGTACCAAATTTTATTGAGATCGGTTAATAGATTCCGGATATAAACAAAAAATCAATTTTTTTTGACAACTTCAACACCCTGTATCTCTAAAACGGTGCCGTTCCAGACGTATGTTTATAAGGCAAACACATATTATTTTAAAGAGATCTATCTGGCCTCGAAGTTTCCTGCATAAAATTCGAACCACTCTGTATAGATAAATAAAGAAATAATCCCTCAGGTTACAGGGCTGTAGACGACCAGATCTGGCAAAATGAATTCCATTTTTTTTAAATTTAGAAAAAAGGATCTACGTAGAGCTTGCAGCCCCAGGTCTCACCATAGGTTAATACGGCCCTGTCCAAATTACAACGAAATCGAAAACATAGAGATGGAATTTGGAATGGCTAAAGTATCAGTTAGAAGACAAATTGGAACCAAATATTTTTTAGCGAAAGTCGTAAATGGTTATGTAAATTCTGCTGAAGTATTACGAAAATCAAACTTCTTTATTATTGATAGAGTACGACCAAGCAGTTATTGCACCATTTTAAAAATGAATTTCACTGTAGTGAAAGTATCTTTGGCCATGAATAATATATGTCTTGGTATTATTTAAATATTTTTAATAAAAATTCGAACAAACTGAAAAAAACCTTTATTAAATATTACAAAGATCTGAAATTGCAATATTACTGACATATTTGTTATCTATGTAAATTTTTGTTACATATTAATATTATTGTGACATAATTAAAAATTTAAACCTAAGTGTCTGTATTATATCAGTGAATAAATAAATGAATTAATTACGAATCTTACCCTGAAAACTTAAGTCATGATAAATAATGTTTGATAATGAAACAAAAGGAATAGTTTTTTCTATTATTGGAGGTAATTAAATATATATTATAAATTGACTAAATTAACAATATGAAAGAGTTAGGAAATCGTATACAAGTTACTGCCGGGCCAATGGTTTAGGTCAAGCGTATAATTCGTCATTTTCAATTATTTTGAAACTTATTTTTTTTATACAACTTTAATTTAATTTACAATTTCTTTGATTACCTCCATCAACAAAAAAAAAACTATTGCCACATTTTTTTTATCAATCATAACGACATTACTGGGAATTATTATTCCAAATATTTTTTTTTTAATAAAAAGGCACACTGAACCAAGATTTTAAAAAATAATTTCAAAAAAGCCAGTGGTAAAAAAAATTAATACTACCTGCCGCTCTTCTGTTAAAATGGCCACGCACGCCCATGGTTAAAATTGAAAATAATTATCTAATTAAATAAATAGCTTTTGTTGATACTAATTTGTAATACAGAGATTTAAAACAAAATAAAAAATATTTATCCTTATGCTCATTTTAGGATTTTCGTTCTTATTTTCACATGGATAATTATTCCTGAATTTACGCATATAAGTTAAGAATCACCTTGTATATTTTTAATGAATTTATGTGTTACTAAAAGTGGTGAACGTTTCCAATAATTTACAAAAAAGAACATTTGATTATAAGTTTCTGAACCGTACAAAGCATTATTTCGTTTTCATTATCAAGTACATTCAATTTTCAATGACGACGAATATTGAAAAGAGAAAAATCTTGAAATCATTCTTAAACCTGTGATAAATCAAGAACTGAATTTATAAAATCACCCTCAGAAAATCTCTATTTTTGTGTTTTCATAAATGCAATATTCCATGTACATGGAAAATAAAAATTATTCAACAATTTAACTGTTGTGTATAAGTACATTTTCAATAAAATTATAGTGGTTTGGTCTTCAAGTGAGTAGAAAACCTCTAAGTAGTACGGAAAACTTTATTCAACCAATTTCGCTGGTAACACGGCACACAACCGAGCAGGAACTAGGCTTCTAGACTTCTGGTGGTACCTCGAAAAGCTTTCGGTTTTTATCCTTGTCCCCAGGTACCTACTTTTATTACCCTATCCTAATAATTAACACTTATCCGGGCCCTTACCTACTCGATTTGTGCTTATGTACCCTAATAAACAACAACTAATTTATGTTTACAGCCTACTTATTATAATCTCATTTGCTAAATATATTTGGGTATTTGGGATAATCTCGGATAATTGAAAGTATAATTTATATGGCTCGTAAATTCACAGAAAGCAAAATCTATTTATTGAGGCAGGTACTAAATGTAATTACAGCGTAGCGCTACAAAATAAAAGTTATATGATTAGGTTTACTTCTGACTGACAACTAGAGGCATATTGTAGTTATCTATTCATTTTATAATAGGTAAACATAAAATCAATTACCTTAGCACCATTGCGCAAAAGTATTTTCGCATATTCCAATCCTAAACCCGAACCACCTCCAGTAACCAAGGCCACCTTTCCTTGTATATTGAACACCATTTTCCAAAACGTATCTGGTGAACTTTTGACTACTTACTGCAATTAACAGACCTGTTTTAATGGGAGAGGAACCGAAGAAACCGATAAGTTATCATTGTTTCTAAATATTTAATTAGGTATTCATAATTCATTCGGTTTTATTGACACTTATCTGGAATTTGATATTTTGGACTGTTATAAAATATTTACAAAACAGTAATAGGTTTGAAGTCAACATGTTATTCTTAATAAAATACTTTTATCTACGACAAAATATGTTCGTTACCATGTTAGATAATATTCAAATACATATTTATTATGCAGGGTGTCCCGTTCATGTTTCAAAAAGACTTGTGAGCATATGCCTCATGGGAAAATAAGTCAAAATTTGTTACATTTCTAAACGGTTCTGTAAACTCTAAAGGATACTACAAAAAAAGGTATACGAAATTCGGTAGCGCGTACCATTTTCGAGAAAAATGAAGTTGAATTTTTTTCACATAAAGCGGCACAAGTACATTAACAAAATATTAAATTGAAAGAGGACCTTACCATTGAATGAGCTGAAGACATTTAGCTACCAACAGTATTTGCATTTAAGACTATAATTTTAATTTCTTACGTATCGCATGAAACAGTTATCCTGTAAAACACTTTTAACTAGAAAAAAAAAATAAAATTTATTTTAAGTTTCAGTCTGTTGTAAACTAACATTTAAAAAAGTAAATCAAAATAAACAGATTATGATAATTAATTATCTATTATTAACTAATTTTAAATTTTGTAAACAACTACAATACCATTACTAAAATAAACAATTCGAATGGACTGAATTGTTGATGGACATTAATGTAAAAAAGGTGATAAAAACAGAAAAATATTAGGAAACAGACTCGGAGACATAGATAACAAAACAGCTGCACTATTAAATAAATGTGCAAAACTCGAAATACTACAGTAGATACTGAAATTGTCCCCCATTTCCTTCTATGCAACTTCATTTTTCTCGAAAATGGTACATGCTACCGAATTTCGACAAGTATACCTTTTTTTTGTAGTATGCTTTAAAGTTTACAGAATCGTTTAGAAATGTAATAAATTTTGACTTTTAACATATTTTTTTTTCGATTGTACCTCTCCAATTACCTGTATCGGCGACACTGCTTTTCAAAAAGAAACCGTTTGCACATTATTCTTAACGCACAGTTGATGCGTTTACTCGTATACATATTTTGACATTTTTATCTTTAGCCGATTTAAGAATAATTAAGGAAAACCATTTGGAAATTTCCATTTCAACACACTGTATCTCGAAAACAGGGCGTCTAAGAAAAAAACTTTACATCAACTACCCCTATTATTTTTCCATGAGGAACTTGCACACAAGTTTTTTTGAAACATGAACGTGACACCCTGTATAATTTTCTTTTTTAGTGTCTAAAACTATGTATGTGAAAAAATTTCAGAACAATAATAAATAGTTTGATTTGAAAAAATATACGGGGTGTTCCATTACAAAAAATCTAGTTTAGATGGTTTCCAGTGGACCAAACTCGGTATTAAATTATCACCACCTTGTATAAGATTGAGTAACTCTCAAGATATGGTTATGTAACTTAGTTATTTAGGTCTTGCTACTTCAAATATTGTGGATTTATCTGTCTAACTGTAGAATGCGTACGGCTTCAAAGTAGGTTCTGATTTTTAATTTTTTTTTTTAAAAAAAGCTAAATATCTCGAAAACGGATAATTTTAGAAATAGGGAAACTTGATGAAAGTCACCTTAAAATGAAGCGTAGAATCCAAAAATGTAAAAATATACGTGCTGTTCCATTTAAAATAACAAAGTTCACGTCAGCTCTTGTATAACCGGAAATCTTGCAGGAACAAAAGTATTAGATTTGAAAAAAAGCATACCCAAAAACCCTGGTGTGCCAATTTTCAAAATTTAAATCGAAGTAGGTTCTGAAATAATCTAATAGGCCACTTTGAGCCACCCGCTATTTTATGGTAAATTCCATTTAGTGTCGAAAAATGGGCACCGCCCCTTTTTGCTTAATACTATTATGCAAATATTTACATATATATTCTTATAATGTAAAGAGTGCAGTTATATGAAGGCAACGGTTGTGTCCCTTTCTGTTTGAATAAAATTACATACATGAAAGAGAGCCTGGCCTAATACTTCCGATCTCTAAATAATTTGTCTTAATTGAAGGTTTAATTTAGATGATTGTCAATGTTCATATTTTAGTACTGCGGTTAATATTGATTTTCCTTTCTACCATTTTAAACTGCTAGTTAGATGTGTCCTGAAATAACTTTATATAATTATTTTAAATGCATCATTAGTTGCATTAGTTGTAGAGAATACCTAAAAACACTTTTTTAATTATTAATCTGGATTTCTTTCTTCTTTTTCAAAGTATCAATGTTTTTTAGTTTGTTATGCCGCGGCCTAAGTATCTGGTCGTCTCCAGTTACATAACCATAACAATTCCGTAATTTCTATCCAAAATTTAATATTTTGAAATAGGTACATATTTAGTTACTCAGTTGTTCCAAGTAAATCAGAAGAAAATCCATTAAATACCTATCTATGTTTTCATTATACTCCACGGTCGAAATTATAGAGAGTGATTCATCGCTAGCCTTTGGACTAGTAAGGGGGATGAAGCGTGCCGGGAATGAAAATCCATTGGCGTGTCTGCGTAAAAGGCAACAAGATATAGAAAATAATAAAAAAATATAATAAAACATAACATCTAATATTTTTTATGGTTTGCTATAACAGGCACTTTGATCCATTTTAATTATTACAACATTTTAAAACGTCCCAATTGTGTTTTTTTAATTTATAAATTTATTATAACTAGCCATGGAATTAGACCCCTCGTCTATGCTTATGCTATGACGTTTCTCAGGACGGGTTAAATCAAGTCCGTTTACACCCACTAAAAAAGCATTTCCCTATTCCCTACCAAGTGCAAAAGATAGAGATAGAATATAGATCGACGTTCAGTGTAACTCTGTCTCTAGACGATTATAGATTCTATCGATGTGGGTAGCGAGCGGCACAAAGATAAATAATATTGAACCGTATAAAAATCATTTTATATTTTATACGCATTATGGTAATAGTGTTTTTATATTATGTCTTAGTCACTCTTTATAATTTCGACCGCGGAGTATAGTTGGCAGTTCAATATCTTCAATACTTCCAAAACATCAAAACATTTTTTTGAAATTTTTCCAAAAAAAATCGCCATGATCTACTGCACAATATACTATTTATTTATAAATTTAAAATTTTTTCTGCACTATAGGTACGTAGGAATAATGGGTATAGCAAATCATCTCATTTACCTACTACTAATAATGAACTAAGTTGTTAAAATATCTCCAAAATAAATGGTAAAATATGTCTTACCGATGTCAAGCACTACTACACAACGTTCATCCACACAAAAAGAGATTGAGGTTTACCCATCAATTAAATACATCAATTATTTTTTTGGTGATTTTTATGAAGGAGCTAGCGCCATCTATAAACAGTAATAAGAAATTATGCAGTTGCAGAATAGAGAACTGTCTTGTAAAGTAGATCACAATAACGACTACAGTTCCAGTTACTTCAATTATAGCTAGGAACGGTACGTGATATAATAATAATCATATGTACAGAGTATATCAGAAATACTTGGCAAACTTTACTGGCGCATTTTAGTACATAAATTAATAGAGAAAAATATTTCCGCGAGATATATATCCAGAAAAGCTTTGCTCCATAAATACTGGAAGCTCAAAATTAATGAAAATTTATGTGGTTTATTTCAAGTTGTAAGCACACATCAAGATCACATCACATTACCTGAATATTTAATTTTTTATTTAAAAATAATCATGTTTTACAACTTTTAGCGACAATTACTTCCTAGACATGATATAACACACATCAATTATCTCGAAAACTCTTCATCATGTAAGAATACATTTTTTGCAAAGTCTGTAGTACTCTGTCGTAATAGTAAGTTAAAATAAGAAAAAATATTTCATAAACATTACCAGAAGCTATGACTTATTTTTTTTTTTTCAGACTTTATTTGAGGACTTTGCCACCTTTTAGGACAAGAACTTATTTAATTGATCTTTTGATTTTCTTTCACAGATTACAAAATACTCAAATAAGGAGACAAAAAATATTATAAATTAGAAGCGACTACATACACTACTAGAATGACACCCCTGTATGTATAAAAAACTAATGCTCATAAGTTTGTAGAGAAATAGTTAAAGTTAAACTTGTATACTAAAATTGATTATAATCCCTGTCACTTTTTTGTATCTACAAGAGAAATTGATTTTTTATTCAAACTTTGATCCCCCAACGCAGGTCGTAGGTATGCTATACAGAATGATTCAGAACTTATCCAAAAAAAAAAAAATTTGAATGTACAGGGGACTCTTATACAAATACAATTTTGTAAAAATAAATCGAAAAGAGCAGTTCTAAAATAATTTAAAAATACACTTCTGCAGGGTACTGGAAACTTGACCACTGTAAAACCTGACCTAGCGCAAGGCAAAGCATGCAGCATAAACGGACAAAAAATTGAAAGAATTTCTTTCCGAAGGAAAGAAATATATAACATTTTATAATCCCTATTTTATATCAGCAAATTCAGCTGCTTTTGCCGCTATTGTTATTATTAATTAATAAAATTTATTTGTGGTTACAACAAATGTTCAAAATTTTGTCCACCGATGTGTAAACACATTTGCGCCCTTCTTACCCAGTTTCTGCGAACTAACACAAATGTTGTATTGCTTCACCATAACACAAATGCTCCACTATAACACAAATGTTGTCTTACTTCACCATAAATTAAAACGATCTCCATCAACTCCGAGTTGCTATACACATAAGCCATTTTGACACCTGAAAAACTAATGTAAACACTAACACAAATGTTGTCTTACTTCGCCATAAATTAAAGCGATCTCCATCAACTCCGAGTTGCTATACATAAGCCATTTTGACACCTGCAAAACTAATGTAAACACTATTCGGAATCACCTGAGGCCACGTGAAGCGAAAGAGCGAATTGCGCACTACGCGAACAACACTAAAAACTACAGTAGTCCAACGATGTAAGGGTTGTAAATACTACAACTTTAATAATTTTTTTCTGGTAAACTATAAGGGTTTTACAAAAACATATTTTACGATATTGAGTCCATTTTTCATGACGCATCTATTCCCAAATTTTTTTGGATAAATTGTGAATCGCTCTGTAAGTATTACATCATTTGCTTTGTACGAAAAAGAAAATTCTTGCACACGTCAATTTTTTATTTAATTAAGGCATACTTTGAAGCAAATATTGCATATTTAGCCATAATAGTGTCTAAGTGGTCTTCAATTTTCTTAAATACTCGTTACAAAAGATGTTTTAAATGTTCTTCATTGCAAGAATAAAGTCTATATTGTATCTTGTTTCTACTTTTTATAAGGTTTCATGTGTCTACATTTGCACTTTAATTGCCATAGTGTTTTTATTTTCTGTCGTATCATAAAATAAAGTGCAGGGATAATTGTACACGTTAGTATTTTTCCGAGTCAGTTATTAAAAAGATAAATATTGTAGGTACTTACCATAATCTTCTATAAAAATTCTGTTGAAAAAGAGTATTTTAATATATATACCTATTTACAATATGTAAATCAAGAATTATAGAAATTATCAGCGTTATATTAAAACCGATTCAATAATAACAATTTCAATTTCCGTAAATATATTATTTGATGCAGATATGAAATAGTCTTTGAAAGCATATAGTATTATTCTATGAGTTTGAAAAATGCAGCCGTAAATTTGAATCTCTCTACAGGGTGTCTCATAATTAACTACCAACCCTGAACAGGCCGATTCTATGATCAAAACTAAGTAATCCATTTATTTCCACAAGGTTCATTGGGGTGGGTACGGGGGGGCCCTTGGTATTTTGCGTGTGTAACTTTTTCATCTTTGACTTTTTAACAAATTGGACAGCAAATTCCGTTTTCCCGAACTGTTTTACCTTAAATAGGTACTCTTGTTTCAAATCGTTATATTTAACGGTTTCTGAGAAAATCGCTCTTGAATTAATCCCACTTTGGTCAATTTCATAGTAATTTAAACAAAAAATAATAATAATTTTCCTTTCCTCTGTTTTCCATTTAAAGGATTAATTTTTATTTGATTTCATTTGTTATTATTATTTTTTTATTAAAATTAGATTAAATTTAAACAAAAAATTTTTTTCTCCGTCTCCCTCAAGTACATATATGCACTGAATCAATTTTCATTGCGCTTTATACCACCAGCTCTACTGATATTTAGACCTAGAGACTATTTGCATCTAATTATTTAAAAATCTTTGTATATCAGTTAATACATTGGCAAATTGAGAAATACATTAGTATGACTCATATACGTTTCTGTGAGTAACTTTGTTACAAATTCAATTTAAACAATAATTAGAAGAATGCAGTCCACAACCATTAACGGCATATGTAGGTACATAACTCTCAAGTAGTTCCGACATAAATCAATGCAAAAACAAATTTAGAAGTTAGGGAAATAATAATAAAATTAGTTCTAAAATAGTATTTTAAAAATAGTTTCCAAAATTGAACTGCCATTCTTTAAAATAACTAGACGTTTGGTGACAAAGAACATATTTTCAGTTTATAACAACTTTTTTTATAATTAAATTGCTGTTAATACTTTTAAATAAATTCCAAAATAAGGGCCTAACGAAAAGTACATAACACGGTATATTAGTTTAGCCAAATTGTATTTCTCGGTAATATGACAACAAATATTAGACAAAAAATTACATAAAGTTTAATTTGTTTTCTTTTATGTACCTAATCTTATTTATTATTAAAGTATTGTTTGAACAACCTATAGGTCAGTAAGAATATTGTTGTTTGATTTACTTAGGCATTGTTTCTCTCTCTGGGAACACGTACTCATAGGGGGGTTGTTCTTCTTCAACTACCCAAACAGTTCCATTTGGACAAGACTGAATAAGTTTTGTTACCTCTTTAGCCACATATTCAGGTCTGCGAAATAAAATAAAATTAATTTTTAATATTAAAGCCATTTAAGAAATTCAACAAATTTAAGATTTATGTAAACAAGTTTGCAATCAATTATATAGGGTGTTTAGGAAAATATACAAGTAGGTACTGCAGCATAATTAAGGTCCAATACAACTTACTTATCATGTAAATCAGGTAGTTTAGAGCTTCTCAAAAGGTGCACTGTAAAAAATTGACTTAATTTTCACTCAAAATCAATACATTTTTTTAATAAAAACAATCCACACCCAATTGTATTAAAATAATAGCACTTATCGTTGAGTATCAACTATTTGTTAGCTTAATTTTAATATTATATTGGTTAACTTTTGAGTTAGCTTTCTAAACTATGCAAGTCATATCATATTGGTACACTAGATCTAATAGTAACGAAAATCAATTCTTAAGTAGGTACAACTAAAATAAATGTATTTGTTGTCTCAGTCCAAACTGCGCGTCGGTATGTGTTTGTACACAACTACACAAAAATGCATAATATTAACAACAAATAGAGTTATTTCTTTAAAGTTTCTTCTTCACAGTCTCACATGTATTAGTTCTTCTTACAAAAAATTGTATTGACAACCTTACTTCTTTATTAAAATCCTAAATTCGCCAAAATAATTTGAGTCATATCGGAAACTTTATGGCCACAGTCAAATAAATAAGCAGTAGTATATTATTAGTAAGGGGCAATATGCGTTGTAGCAGAAATAGACTAAATGTGGTCGAGCCGTGTGTCGCTCTATGCTCACAATACGCAATGCTACTGTCTGCCACAAAAACACGTGCCATACGCTCGACCAAGCAAAGCACCAAACTCACTCACACACACATAAACGACAATGAAATGCATAGCCAACGTCCCTCAACAAAAAACTTGAATTGTTCACTGGCACGTCAGATATGTATCGAATAAATTGATCGATGCGCAGCTTCAGATTAGAGGGTTACTGTGAAATAGTTGATGCTTGCATTAGTAAAAATAGCATATATTAAAAACTTCGACTGCTTTAAGTATGCGCCTGTGACCTCGGTAAATTTTCATTTTTGAAATGAGTCTTTACCCATCGCCGGAGACGATTAACCGCGGAACACTTAAGGCAACTGTTAATTTTCTACAGTTGCTTTACTTGCGAGAAGAAATTGTTATTTTGTTAACTTTTGCTGGTACTTATTATAACGTACTATATCTACTTATTTTATGGTAAATTCCATGTGAAACGTGTACAGTAGAAAAATAGGCTTGAATTACATAAAAGAGAACTCAGTCTATAAGCAACTCTGTACCACATTGCAGCCACCGTAACATTTCCGATCGTTTCTAATAAGTAACCTTGAAGTTACACTGCGTTGCTTTTTACTGTGTACGCTTAAAGAAATTGAATTGAATACTTTATCTTCAAAACAAATGATAGATCCATAAGTCACACATTAAAATCTCAAAAACGATAGCAGTTTTAACATTGGTTGAATTACAATGAAGTTGTGAAACCATAAGGCGTTGAATTACCGTTTTATTTTCTTGTTACTTCCTTAGACCACAAAAATGAAATTTCACGAAAGCTCCCTTTTTTTCACATAATTCTGTAATTACAAATATTATAAACTTTAAGATTTCAGGTATTTTATAAATTAACATTCTGTATGGATTGCTACTAAATCTTCTACATTTTAGTTAATGAATGTCAATTTTTTTTCCTCTAAATTTATTTTCTTATTGCCAGATAACCATTTTTATTATATTATTTACAGAAAATTTCAGTTACATTTTAGCAACAGCACAATTTTGCACAGTTGCTGTGACCAATGTTATAACTTCAAAAAATCTAATAGTAATGTATTACTAGAAAATATAAGGCTAATATTTATACAGGCTGATTCACAACTTATTCAAAAAAAAATTGGGCATTCCCATGCGTCATGAAAAATGGAGTCAATATCGAAAAATAATTTTTGTAAAATTTATATCTTCCAAGAAAAAAAAAAATTATTGAAGTTGTAGTATTTGAAACCCTTTCATCGCTTGGCTACTGTTGTCTCTGGCGTCATTCGCGTTGTGAGCTGTACGCAATTCGTTCTCTCCTCTCTCTCCAAGTAACTCCAGGTGATTCCGAATACTGAATCCGATTTTAGTATTAAAGTTTTGTGATAGTGTTTACATTACTTTTGCAAGTGTCAAAAATGACTTAAGTGTAGGTATAGCAACTCGGATATAACGTTTTAATTTATGGTGAAGTAAGACAACATTTGTATTAGTTCGTAGAAACTGAGTATGACAAGCCTAAATGTGTTTACACATCGGTGGATAAAATTTTGAACAGTTGTTGTAACATCAGGTATGTCAAGTTATTTTATTAATTAAAACCACAAATTTCATTAAATAACAACAATAGCGGCAAAAGCCGTTTAATTTGCTGTTTAAATTCTTTAAAATTTTTGTCCGTTCATTTTTTATTACACTTTGCTGCCGTGCCAGTCGCTAACTGCATGTTTTGCCTTGCGCAAAGTCAGGTTTTACAGTGGAATAGTTGCCAGTGCCGTGCAGAAGTGTATTTTTAAATCATTTTCGAACTGCGCCTTCTGATTTTTTTTTACAAAATTATGTTTGCAAGAGTCCTGTATATTTAAATTTTTTATGTAAGTTCTGAATGGCCCAATAAGTACAAACTTATTTAAAAAGGGAAAAAATAGTTTTGTGATCTATGAAAGTTACAAGAAAACTAAAAGCGTGACTGAAGAAAAATTGTTGCACAACTTTTTTGTAATTTAACTAACGTTGTACCTCTTATCATTTGCTGCAGTTTAGATTTCTTGACATTTCAACACATGTCGACCTTTTCTTCAGAAGAAACTCTCTGAAGATTCAGAATTTCTTCTGAAGAATGTTACTCGAAACGTCAAGAAGCCTAGACCAGCGACGCGACGTGGCAACCAGCCTGGAAACAATTCAACTTTTGACAACACGGAAACCTGCAACCAAGCTCGTCAACAAATAAATATTATCAAACATTATTTCCGATATTCTTAATTCAAATTTGAATATTATGAAATACTTACTCTTGCGGTGGCAGTGTATCTATATTTTGCTGCAGAGACTCTTCATATGCGTCTCCTAAATTTCTTCCGCTTATATCAGCGATCAGTGGCGTTGCAGTTACTCCTGGACAAATCGCGAGTAGTCTAACTTTAGTCCTTTCATAGTGATGGGGGACACCCCAGGACCTGGTCATTGCTGCCACTGCAGCCTTAGTCCCGCAGTATATGGGAATGAAAGGACATATGCCAATTGCAGCGATAGAGGACATGTTTACTATGACAGCCTCAGGTCCCTGTTTATATTTTGGTAGATAATTTTCCATGCCCAAAAGTATTCCGTGAACCACACCATTCTACGGAAAAAAAGGAATTAACAATTCATGATAAGAAGTTGAATCCATCAGGTATTTTTTCAAGGGTATATTTGTACATCTTCTTGGTAAAAAAAAGTTATCTCTTACTGTGTACTTAGTAGTAGCTACTAGTCATAAATTAAGATTATATATCGAAAGTCTTATACATACAATGTAATTTCAAGAATTGGTATAAATTGTGCAGTCCTTTATGAAACAATTAGTACAGAACATGACTTTCAAATTTACATAAAAACCTCTTTTTCATTTCATTATGACAAATCTTGGATTTTTAGTTGTAGAGTTTATTATATGCCAATATAAAACAAATCTTTATCGAATAAACTCCCAGTGATTGCTATTGTATCAACTACATATACAGAGTGTTTCAGGATTAAGTCGACAAACTGTGAAGACGTGTTCCTCTGATCAAAATAAGTAAACAAATGTATATAAACGGAAACGCTTCGTTTTCGTGATGATAAACATCCTCTGTTTAGAATTCCATAAAACAACGATAAGTATTATGAAAGAGGACCGAGATATTTAAGTAAAACTTGTGTAATTTATGAATAATAAGTATTATTAGCCACCAGTGGGGGAAATATGGCTAGGCGATTCAATTCATTCAACAAATAAAGTAGTATAGCTCTGTAAAAAATGAGAACTGATGCCATTTGATCAGACTTGCAAAACGCAATTTGTCCAAATTTTCAATTTTTTAATAATAGATGGCGTTACAATATTGAGTTGAATCTGTAAATGGTCAGCACATTGTTGGTGATAGTAATCTTGGTAGGCGGAAACAACAAGTACCTAAAATTAACATCTAGGGTGAGAGAAAAACAAGTTAGGTATGAATAAATTAGATATTTTAAATTTTTAATCGATAGTTTCTATGATTATTTCAGGCATTCAAACCATGGTCCTGATTTGCATACAACAATTTAAGTTTGTAACCATAAGAATAATGGGGGACGGAGCACCAAACGGATAGGGGGGCTACTGACACATCATTTGCTATTATTGATTTTTTGAACAAAGCTGAATTTCCTGAAAATGCGACGAAAATCCATTTTATTGCAGATGGCCGTGGGTAGAACAAAAATAGTCATGACGTACATACTTTGATGTTTTGGCTCCATAAGTTGTCAGGTGAAAATGTAACGGAAATAGAAATTATATTTCCGATCAGAGGTCACTCCTATCTTCCCGCCAATTGTACCCTTGGACGCATCGAAAAAATATTGAAGTATCACAGTATCACAAAAGCTCCAGATGCATATTGGGATCTATACACCAAAGTGGGCGAGGTACGAAAACTTGGATCCGACTGGAATTTGCTTGATATCAAAAATGTGTTATTGTGGCTCAAAAAAGTCAATGGTATAAGTTCTTGACGAAGATTTAAAAAAAAAGTGTTACCACCAACAATATTTTGAAATAAAGTGAAGTTATATCGCACTTCAGATGAGACAAAAAAAATTATTTCAATCGCTATTAAAAACACGCGCACGATTTGACCAAGTAGACTTACCGGAGCTACCTTTGGGTAATAAGATAAGGAAAAAAAATAGACTGTTTGAAAAAACAATGATCCAGAGTTGGAATTTTTGCACAGAGTACTGCGAGGATGGAAAAACAGTTGTTGAAGAAACTGAAGAATGTGAGTATAACATGTGACATGGAAGCAGTTAATTTTATTTAAAGTTTATAAAAAATAAAAATAAAGGTACTGTTTATTGAGAACATGTTTTTGTTTGGTTCTTTTATATGATACCCCAAAATCTGTTTGATCGACAATCAAATCGCTCTTTGTCCACAAGAGACATGCAAATGCCATTTTTTCCAGCTCTTTTTCTTGAATAATAAAGCTATTTTCGCTTTTCCAGTCTGCAAATTTAGTAGTTACGGATGGTATTTTTTCTTGACTTTTTACTACAAATCGTAACTCAGTAACTAAGGCCGTTTCCAAGCGCCAGTTTTTTGCTATTCCTAAAAATTTACAATTTTTGATAAACCGCGATAAACCTGCTCCTTATTTTTGAATGTAATATTTTACTCTGGACAATAATTATCTCTCGTATTTGCTTCCGTTTTATGGCAAATTTGATTTATTTACACTGTAAGAAAATCGGTGTGAGTGAAAGCAATAAAGGTTCAGAGTGAATCCATTGAGTGAAATTATTGAGTACATTTAAACTAAAACTGAGGCATTTTGATCATGAGTGAAATTATTGAGTACATTTAAACTAAAACTGAGTACTTTTACTCAAATATAGGTACTTCTTAAATAAATTCTTCACGTAAACTCGTATTTGGTGTACTTGTACCTAAATCAGAGTAAATGTCCTCATTACTGAGTGATCCCAGCCTTTTTCATATCCAGATGCATTGTCTTTGTCTGTTCCCATCGTTCCATTAGAGAAGGCGTGGGGTAGAGCGCGGGGCCTTTTTAGCCTTCGTCATCGAGCTATGACGTCACAACGTATGAGAAAACAAAAAACAGTTTTTGCTCGTAACTTGGTAATGGCTGGAAATATAAACAAATCTGCAATTGTGGGGGGATTGGTGATAGTGCAAAAGGTCCAAAGTCCGTTTGTCGAAAAAAAAATTCGTGACCAAGGGTGTGTGGCATCATAGAATAAAAAAAGTGGTTATAACTCGAAAACGGTGCGTTGAATCAAAAAAATAATAGGAAAAATCTCCCCAAATCCCCAGCTCCGATTGTCCGTTCTGCGTTGAATGCAAAAGGTGCGAAGTCCGTATATCGAAAATAAATTTCGGAAACAAAAGGTGTGTGGCGTCATACAGCAAAAAAGGTCTTATAACTCGGAAACGGTGCTTTGAATCGAAAAAATAATTAAAAAAATCTTCACACCTCTGATTGTCCGTTCTATGTTGACTGCAAAAGGTCCGAAGTCCGTCTGTCGAAAATACATTTCGGAAACAAGAAGTGTGTGACGCCATACAGTAAAAAAGGTCTTATAACTCGTTGCGTTGAATTGAAAAGATGTATGAATCGAAGCGGGGTAATTGTTAGTTTTAATTGTCTTTTAGAACAGTTGATAAAATTAATTGTAATTGGTTTAGTTGCAAGACACATTTAATATAGATGAATACGAATAAATTAATTACAACGGGCAATTAATAGTTCAATTGCAATTAATTTTAACTGCAATTAAATTATTCGCAATTACTTTTTTAATCAATTAATTAATTGACTGAAAATTTAATTGATTAACGCCCAACGCTGGTTACCACCACAGTACATCTAAGCATTAGATTAATATACAATAATTAATTATTGTATATTAATTTCGAGTAATTTGAATGGCGTCGTGAAGATGGCACCACTTATATATTGCTTCTTTATTCTCTACCACAGTTAATAGGGTCCCGTTAGATGCTCCAGAAAAGCGTGATCGTCAGGAGAACAGGCCTTAGCCTGCGGGTCTCAGTTGGAAGGTCTGAGCCAGGAAGCCAGGATAGCAGGAGCCCTCGCGAAGTGAATTAATTTCAACACCGTATATCCTAATTAATCATTTATGAGTGATTTATTTTTGCACTCAATATTTAGTTAATTGAAACCAAGACTGAGTAAAAAATGAGTCAATAATAGTATTAATAGTAAAATTTAAATCATATTAGAGAAGAAGTCAACTCTAAATTGGTTTTATATACTCAGGATAGAGTCAAAAGTCGCTCAATTGATAGTTAGTAGTAGACTTCGTTGGCAGCGATTTGCATTCTTTGCCACGAACCAATAGATTCTCCCAAATAGAAAAATGAAGAGGATTGAAGTCCGGACTTCTGGGTGGCCAAGTAAAAATGCTTCCACGGCTTGAAGAAGTTCCAATTTATTGAAGAAGAGACATGTGGTTCATGCACGACGGAGCTCCACCGCATTTTTCTTGGCCAGTGCGTGCACATTTAGATGCAGTTTTTCCAAATCGCTGGATTGGCCATCTAAGCATTTTTGCTTGGCCATCCAGAAGTCCGGACTTCAATCCTCTTGATTTTTCTATTTGGTCTCGAATGAAAGATATAGTTTACAAAGAATTTATTGGCTCGTGTGAAGAGTTGTGGCAAAGAATACAAGTCGCTGCCAACGAAGTCAGACGCAATCCCAATATGTTGTTTCAAACTCGAAGATCTCTCAGAAAACGTGTAAGGTGTATTAGTGTCAACGGTGGATTCTTCGAACAATTACTTTAAATCATAATTACTATTTTATTTGTTTTATTGTTAATTGATGTAATAACACAAAGAAACATTTGGTTTGTTTCGCTTAATATTTCTCATATTATCAAAACATAGTGTTCGTTAAATCGATTTTTCTCGAAAACGGATCGAGATACCGAAATGAAACAAGAGTACATAATTAATGGAAAAATGATAGTTCTTTCAGGTTTTGAATCAAGTTTCATGTTAAATATATAGGGTAAAATGTTATTAACTAAACTTTCTGTAAAATTGGTCGTAAGTGGCGCCCTCTACGAGCAATGGTGAAATTACAACACGCATCTTATTCGTCGCCTAAAAAAATATAGTTTCACAAATTTTCAAGTTCCTAACCTACATATTTTCAGAATAATAGCAAAAAAACGATTTAAAATTTTAACTTTCAACACCCTGTATTTCCGAAACTATCAACTTTCGGATAAGGCATGTTTGCGCCAATGATCACCATTTCATGTGTAGTATCTTCAGATTTCGACTTTCCCATTGTTAATGAATCACCCTGTATACATTTTTCACTTATTTTTATGTCAGGAATATGTCAACTCAATCTTGAAAGACCCTGTATAACGATAAATTATTATAAGGTATATACAAAGATTATTGACATAACATTCTACCTCCCTTATCCTTTTTACTTGCTAACTTACAATTAGAAACAAAATTGTATGAGCCAAAGTTGTAGGAAATTTTCTTATAAATAAATAAATAATTTTCAAAACTTTTGGAATTATACGAAAATTACTTAGTTGATAAAAGTTCATCGCCAAATGTTTTATTATTTTTAGGAATAACAACCTTTAAAGTCAATCTTACTTACTCCAAAGAGGACTATTCTAAAATAAATACTATGAATGAATACTATGTGCCGTTAATAAACTAACAAACAATTTTTATTTAAAGAAACAGTGATGTAACATATATATTACTGTGGTATAAAAATAAATATTTATTTATGGAATGCTTATTTTAACAACTTGGTTAATATACACAAAAATACTTACAACATTTATCCCAATTTGTTTTTCCCATATCTTATCATTTAAAATACCAGCGTTATTTATAAGGATATCTACATGTTTGTACTTCTCTATAGTTTTCTTGAACGCATCTACGAAATAAATTAACAATAAATATTTCTTGCTCTGTAAAAAGTACTCACTGTCAAATTGTTGGATGTCGGACACGTCCGTTTTTACAAACAGCGCCCTATTGGGACCAAACTCTTTTTCAATTTCAGTTGAAGCTGTTTGGGCAAATTCAGAACTCGTGTCGGCCAATGTTACGGCCTAAAATATATATATTTGCAGGTTGTCCCAGAATATGTGGGCAAGCACTCGGATTTATACAGGGAACGTTTAACTAACATGACAAGTTTCTATCTAGGGGGTCCCCCCTACGGAGATACAAGCGCCTAAACGACGCCCCTGAAAATCGATTTCTTTTAATAACTTTTAAAATACTTGGTATAATTTATTTATTTTTAGAAGAAAACAAATGTAAATAAAAATGGCATATATTTAGATAGGCACAGAAAGAATGGAAAGGACCCCGCACTTTTCTTATGGGAAGTGGCTTTCGGCCAATTTTTTTTAAACTTCGCAGGTTGATAGTTCTTAACACGTAGATCAAAACTCTCAATGGGCACAAAGCCCTAAATCCACCCCTTCCCCCCAAAAACTGCCTCCAAGTAGCGGGGGGGATTTAACTGATTTCTGCATGTAAAAAATTTATTTTTTTAATCAACCCAACAATGACCCCAAACAACCACATTTTTTACTATCAAACTACCCCACTTGATCCCGCCCTCCACGAATCAGCCTACAGATTTTCCAGATTACTGTATTTTATAGTCGCACGTATTTTTTGCACGTATATTTTTTGCGCGTATATTTTTTCACGCTGAATTCGAATCTGCAACTCAATTTTACGAAATCGGGTCAGAAAAATTGTTATTAACAATTTAATTGTTTATATAGCTGTAGAAAGTTTATTTGTCATTTTAAGAAAAAATATTTCATGTAAAAGTTATTTATTTTGACAAAATCTAAAAAAAGTTCCTATGTATTTTTTTTCGATAAAGTAATATTCAAGCTGTAAAACGCTGTTAAGCTTAACACACGTGTATATCTTTAGCTATCATACGTATACTCTGTGTTGATGAAAATCACATCTGAAAACATTGATGGAGTTTTAAAGCCAAAACATTGATTTTTCGAAAAAAACATTAGTTTTTTTTTAGATTTCATTGAAATAAAAAACTTTTATTTGAAATTTCTTTTTATAAAACAAGTAAACTCTCCGCTACTTGGAGTCAGTTTCTGGGGGGGGGGGTGGATTTGGGCATTTGTGCCCATTGAGACTTTTGGAAAGTGGTCCTTTCATCGGTTTATTTCTCTTTACGGATATAATAAAAATCATATTAAACAAAAATAGTTTTTTCTCGAAAACGATTCATTTTATCGATATCAACCAATCGTGTCCTTTTTTCGATTAAGGTTCAAGCTATCTAAAAATATTATTTTTGTGCTTTTATCGTAAAGGGTGTAAAAAAAATTACATAATTATGCTACAGATAGTCCGTCCCTGGCAAACCAAATAAGCCAAATTGTTTTCATGGGTCAATTTTTAAGGTGCCTTATCTATTGTCCATCGTATTAAAAATTCATTATTTTTAATTAATTTTAATTAATTAAAAAGTATTTTGAGTTATTTAAAAAAAAAAACAATTTTCAGTGGGCATCTTTTAGAGACCTGTAGGAGGGCCCTCTAAGGAAAATTTTTATAAAGACTTGTCATGTTATTTTAACGTCTCCTGAATAAACACGAGAGATTGCCCACATATTCTGAGACACCCTGAATATAAGGTCACATAAAAATTAAAATATTACCATTAGTGTATTACCATTAGTATTACCCATATTGTTATTTATTAAAAATGGGAAATGCATGAATGAATGAAGTTTGTGAGACTTTTTTTGTGAAAATGAAAACATATCTTTAATTCCTATAACAGGCAAATGATTGAAGATCCTTTTGAGTAGTGCATAATCTAATTAGAAGTTTTTACTCATCTCATTTTTATAAAAAAATCAACACTTTATCAAAAAGAAATCTACTGCAGAACGCTGCACTGTAGATGGCAAGGACTTGATCTTAGACTTTGGCGTTAGATTAACTAAAGATAAATGAAATAGAACAATGAAAATATTGTAACATATTTTCTCTTACCTTCACACCATTCCGAAGGAGTTCCTTTGCATATCGTAAACCTATACCAGAAGCACCACCACTAATTAAGGCTATTTTTCCAACCAAATCAAGCACCATTTTTCTATGTCAACTCGTTAAAATCTAAATGCAGCTTACTCAAACCTGTCTGTTTCTATAATAATGTGTCCTATTATAAACAGTTATGTCGTTATATACATTTCTAATACATGATAATTTGAGATAAAAGCAAGTACATAAATGTGAAATATTACTTAGTAGATTTAAGAGAGTGAAAAATATAAGATAAGCCAAATAAAAATGTTATAAATAGAACAATAACAACAGCAAGAGTAATAGCGAAATTAATAGGTTTATCTTATTTGATTTTATTTAGCTAATTTGTTTAATGATAAAGATATTATTCACAGCACAACTTAAAATTAATTAACGTTAACATAAAATCTATTTGAAATACACCGGGTGGATCATTTTGCTGATAAACTTGTCTAAGATGGAAAAACGAAGGACATAATAAACTATTACTAACCTTATTGTTCGGGTTTACCCGATATTTTGAAAGAACATACAATTTTTCTTTTCAATTGCATTGTGAATTTTTGTTTAAAATTTATGACTTGAACAAGACTTGATTTCCTTTTGTACTTTGTCTTATCTTATGGACGTCATATTAAATTTTATGCTGAAGCACATGTTTTACACTTTTCAACGTGTATCATAAGTACAAAAAAAAAACGTTTACGAGTCGGAAATCCATAAGAAGAAAAAAGGCCTCTATCTGCCTGCACCTCGGGTCGAATTGCCGGAGATCTCTAAGGAGCCTCTTAGAGAGTCTTTGAGTCTCGATTTGATACAGGGTGTTAGTAAATAAGTGCGACAAATTTCAGGGGGTGATTCTACATGAGAAAATAATGGCAGTTTGCTTATAAACGTATGTCCGCAAATGATTCGTTTTCCGAGATACGGGGTGTCAAAGTTTTTCTTAAAAACTGACGATTTAATTTATTGCTCTGAAACCGGTCGAGATGTGCAAATGAAATTTGGTGGGTTTTAAGAGGTTATTGCGCATTTTTGACACGCAATTAAGAATTTTATGTTCATCATTGGCGCGCGTACGGGTAATAATCTCAATTTTTTTAAAGAAAAAATGGTACGCCACTGAGATAATACAAATTAAAAATTATTTTTGAATTCCTAGTTCCATTTGTGACAAAAAATCTCTCTTGCCTTTTCTTCGTATGGAGCGCCGTTTTGATGCAAAAAAAATAAAACATCTTAACGCCTTTTTTTATTTCTTTAATACATTATCAAGAACTATCTAATACAATAACATTAAACCAGAACAATAACAGAAAATAACACTAATAAAATTTTGTAAAGGTGCAAAGCTACAACATATGTTCAAAAATGACCTCCCTCAGACGTGACATAAGATTCAATTCCTCGCCTCATTGATTGTCGTATTCGCGCAAATATTCGTGGTATATTTCTTATTGTCTCACAGCCGACTATAACGGGACTTTAACGGGAGTGGAATAAACTAATGACTTAAGAAAACCCCAAATGCAAGAATCAAGAGGATTTAAATCCGGCGGTCGAGCAGGCCAATGTTCCGTACCTCCGCTACCTATCCAACGATTTGGATATACTGTGTCTAAGTGATTACGTACATTAATGCTAAAAATGGGCTGATGCACCATCATGCATGTACCATAGGTGTTGTCTCAGCTGTAGAGAAATTTCTTCAAGAAGAACAGGTAACTCTTCCTGTAGGAAATTAAGATAAGAATCGCCTGTTATAAATCCACAAATAAGATCCACTTCTTATTTGTGGAAGGGCGAAATGGGCGTTGACTATTAGACGCCTTCATTATAGCCATCCTTGTCTATCACATGGATTTCTATGGCTTACTTTATCGCTCTCACGTAACTTCTGATAGACCATCGGTACTTTCCTACACTGTACGTACTCTACAATTAGTTATATCAGCACTTGTAAACATCGTTGTAAAAATAATGATTACGACCATTGTAAAAAATGATTTATAAAATTGATCACTTGAAATAATAAAGGTCAACGTCTAAAATGTTTAACAAATATGATTATTATGAATGATATATTTATCATTAAATCGAACAGAGGGAAATGTATTACACTGTAACAAGATAAATGTTTGATGATAGACCCCCAAGCAAATAAATCAAGTATTGGCGATATAAATATTGGCGCTATAAACTTCCACAGCAAGATGAGTAAAAGTCTATTTATTGATAAGAAAAAATATTTCATTTTACCAATCAGTTTATTGCTAAATACAAATTTGAAAATTAAAGAAAACTGCTTTATTATTCCTCTATATCAGCGGTCTTCAAACTTTTACGACTTGCGGAACCCCGCCAACACTTCGATTTTTTTCAGGAACCCCCGCACCTAAAAAAAATTTTCAAACACATTTTTTTACTTATAAATACTACGATTAACAAAATAAATGTTCCACTAAGTAAAAATTAAAGACTTTAAAATCTAAAGTAAATATTTATTGAGATTGAGTAATTAAAAAAAGTGTACTTAAATGTAATCAGACACTGGGATGTGCTTGAATATTTTTACATAATATATTAAAATCAGGTGCTATTGTCGTAAGTTACAATCGCATTTCAAATTCTGCATTAAGCGCATTGCGATACTTTGTTTCTGTCGCTACCAGACCAGGCAAGTTAGACAATAAATCAGAAAATTCTTTCTGATGAACCGATCGAATTGCGGTTTTCGGCATTGTCTTCGGAAAAATATCAGGAAAAAAGTATATCTATTACACTTTGGGACTGGATCGAAACTGCATTGCGGGTGCATAAAGTGCATCTTGGAGTGCATCAATTTTTCCGAATTTTCAAAAAATGGTAAAAATTGACTTGTAGAAATTTGTGTGCACGGGTTTTTGGGGTCGAAGATTCCGAATCTGACCCTGAAAAATATGCCCGACGGCCCCTCAGGGGGGCAAGAGGGGGCCTTCTGTGTATTTCCACTCGGGGGTTTTTGGGGTCGGGGATTTCGATTGACACTGAAAAGTATGCCCGACGCCCCTGGGGCCCCCCAGAAGGGCAAGGGGGGGGGGGCCTTCTGTAAAACATCGAATAGCTGAGTAATTGCCTTCTAAATTTCCACTCGGGGGTTTTTGGGGTCGCATTATTATTTACTTTAATATGTATATCTTCGATAGTTCTTTGATAATTATGTCTTCTTAGAATATCAGTGTTGTCCAGGTTAAAAAACAAATCGATACTATTAAAGTACTGTGAGACTCTGCTCACTGCCTCTACGGTTCTACTACTCAATGCATCTGAATCCATTAACGATAAAACCATTGAAAAGTCATCAGCATAGGCTGTATAGGCGATATGTTTTGTGACACTTGATATATTGTTGACATATGAAATTAATAAAACAGGTCCTATTATTGAGCCTTGAGGTACACCTACATCCGAATTTAAACAACCGGATTGCATAAAATCTATAGATTGTTTAGATTCGACCTTTAAAGACAGATACTGTTGACGACCCTGAAAAAATGTTGATACCCAGTTAAGTGCAGTTCTTCTTATGACATGTTGTTCCAAAATAGATGGTAATAAATTAATATTCACGCAGTCAAATGCTCTGCCCAAATCATAAAAGATAACTGCTGGAGAATCGCCGGCTTCAACAAATTCAATGATTTGGTTATAAAGAGATAACATTGCAGATGACGTCGATCTATTTCAAAACTCTCTCTAAGATTTTCTCATTTTGGGTATTTGCAATGCGCACTTTGAAGGATCATAGTGAAATGAGACTAACACAATACTAAAAACACTTCACAATTATAGAGCCTTCATAAATGTGTACAAGTCTCGTGACCGTCGAGCTTAGGCAACCTCACGGTCCGTAAAGAGACAATCGCCGCATAAGTCAATCAGCCAATAAAAAACAATTACGTCACCAAATACCTCAGTGTATCTTCGTTCAACCGTCATCTCTTTCTAACTCATTGCATTTCCCTTAAGAAAATAAGAGGCAAATTTAAAATTGTCACATTTCTTGTACCACGCTCCTTTTAACATAAAATAATAAATTTAATCAGTTATGATTATGGTGAATTAACAGGTATTTTGAGTCTAAAATGTTTTATAAACCTTTATACACAAACTGAACCTTTTCATTGGAATTTGGAAATAAAAGGATGAAATGTGAAATTGTCTTGAATACACATCACTATCGGTCACCATTTTTGACATTTGGTTACATAATTAACCTAAAATTAGTGTTAATTTTATTACAGATATTTATTAATATCCCTAAACTCTAATAAAATGAAGAGGGGAAATGAATATATAAATAATTTAGACCTATCTTAATATCCTCTTGGCTCTAAAATAAAAACTGTGTACAGTTTATATGATGTTATTGTATCTACTTTTGTCTTTAGTTAAATTTCAAATAACTTACCAAAGTACTTTATAATAGGCTGAACATAATTTATTTTTGTACTTACCAACTACAGTTTTACAGTTGATGTTCCGAATTAAAAAATTCCCAAGTTTTTACAAGCAAACTACCTAAACCTCAGTAGTTTTTAGCTTTGAAAGAGTTTTTTTCGGTGTTCGGAGTTAAATGGACTATGGGTGAATAAAAGGAAGAAGAGGAAAAGTTAATCGTACAGAACTTTTGACATAACATTTAATTTTAAGAAAAATTGTCAAGTTTACAAAAATATTAAAATCATCATTTCGATAGATACTTAAAATTTCCAATCGCTTTTCTAACAATCACATCAATTTGTTATACAACAATAACAATAAATTTAGTCCTTTTGAAGTGAATACAATCAGTTAAACTAGAAATTTAACATATAACCTGTTTTCTATAAGTCTTTTTCTTGATGATAAACTTAATAGCTCTGCTTGAAGATCGCGTTCAAAGTTTGAGTCTTCAAAATGTGTACTAATGTCCAGTTATATGATTAAACAAATCGCGTCTTTTGCACCGTTCCACCCATATCTTTCTAAGTTTTTATCCTTAGGAAACACATTAAATAAAGTTTTTAAATTTTCTTGTTTAGCACTATAAAAATTATTATTGCAAATTGCAACACACTACACCTCACTGCTGGCATTCTTACGTGGTGAATTAATAGTTTATATTAAACACTACACCATCAACTTATTAAAAAATATTATCAATAACTAACTAATTACTGCAAAATACCCAAACAACTATGAAAGATTTACATGGAAAAATGTAAAATTACTAGTGAAGTCGCATGTAAACAAACATGAATCCTAAAGGTTAGAAATTTTGTGACGTAGTATGAGATAAGCCACGCCCATAATTTATGTCTATTACTTGACCGTCTTTTTTACGGACCGTGAGGCAACCCAACATTGCACGACTGGTACTAGTAACAAAAAAAAACCTAAACCCTATCGTCTACAATATTAATGCTTCGATTACAGTAACAAACCGTTACTCCTATGCTCGAAATAATGCAATCGCTGATTGGTTGAATAGAATCACGTGAAAAATTACACCAATCACAACCGGTGAAACAGAACATTGTGTGTTTAATGTAATATTATTCTTATTGGTTTAATAATTTTACCGCAATTTAATTACCAACATAAAAGAAATATGAAAAATAACTGTTCCAAACAGTTGATCACGTGGCTTATAATCATTTATGAAGGCTTTGTATTTATGAACATTTTGAAAGTTTTTCTACCATCAAACGATATACATTTTCACTTAACATTTTCAAAAAATACATTGTTTTGAAAACGAAAGGAAGACAGCTTTCAACTTAATCATACATGAGAAATATTCAGCTAGACCTATTGTAGTGGAAGAAAGGAATACTTGAGGTTTAAAATAGTGGGAGGTAAACTAGAGGCCTAGAGTTATTATGCCATTAGTGATGCCCAGCGACGTAAACTTAGTGTGTCTCATCCAGCAACAATCAGGTATAGGAAAGCGGTGGGGGTAATGTGTAAACATTTCCATGTAACCAGCAAAGACGCCAAGAATTTCGTTTATTTAAAAGAAAAAAATATATGAAAATTTCATGAAAATATTTTCGATGTTCATAAAAATTTTCAATTATTTTGGAACATGTATATTTCTTTAAATGTGAAATATGAATGTGAATAAATGTGCTTACAAAATCTCCTGTATATTTAATGGCTAATAATTATAACCAAATAGGATGGTGATTATCTTCACACAACACAGGCAGAGTTTCCCTCGAAACTACACATGCCATATCCGAAATGCACAGATCTAATATACAATCATTTAGATTAGTGATGGTATTGAACTGCTGGAATCCATTGTACTGAAGGAATTTGGAAATTAATATCGTTTTGAAATCATTTAAGTTAGCAGATATAAAATGAGCGACATTTTAATATACAGGGTGATTCACAACTTATCCAAAAAAAATTGGGAATAGATGCGGCATGAGAAATGGCGTCAATATCGCAAAATAAAATTGTAAAATCCTTATAGTTTCCGAGAAAAAAAATATTGAAGTTATAGTACACACAACCACTACATAGCTGGACAACTGTAACCTCTAGCGTTCTTTGCAATACGCGTGGAGAGCCACGTGGCCTCAGCGACTCCGAATACTGAAATTCGATTTTGCAATCGTCGTTGCGATAGTGTTTACCTGTTATCTGTGGCGTTTACATAGTCTTTTAGTAGTTAGTGTCAAAAATGGTTTGCGTGTATAGCAACTCGGAGTTGATGGATATCGTTTTAATTTATGGTGAAGCAAGACAACATTTGTATTATGGTGAATCATTTGTGTTATAGTGAAACAAGACAGCATTTGTGTTAGTTCGTGGAAACTGAGTAAGACGGACCTAAATGTGTTTACACGTTGATGGATAAAATTTTGAACAATTGTAGTTGTAACATTGGATATGCCAAATGATTTTATTATTTAAAAACACAAATTAATTTTATTAATTAATAATAACAATAAAGGCAAAATCAGTTGAATTTGCCGATATAAAATAGGTGCTATAAAATTCTATTTATTTCTTTCCTTGCGAAAGTTTTTTGTCCGTTTGTATCACACCGCCATGCCGGTCGTATTGTGTGAGGTCAGGTTTTACAGTGGACCAGTTTCCAGTACCGTGCAGAGGTGTATTTTTAATTAATTTTCGACCTGCCCTTTTTAATGCTTATTAAATAAAGCTTATTATTAATTAATAAGGTGTTCAAACAAACCACCTGCTTGAGCTTCACAATACCCTAATCTGTCGTAAAATTCTTGACGAACATTTGACAAAATTGCAGGAGTAACTGATCCTAAAATATTTCTAATTTTAAGCCATCATTCGTCCAAATTTGCGGCTCTTTCGTGTCGATGGTTTGTGGAGAAGTTGCGTTAAATGACCCCATAAAAAGAAGTCGCAGGGTGTCAGATCTGGAGATCGAGGAGGCCAAGATATGATACCTCTTGTGGAAAGAAGTCTTTCAGGAAAAATTTGTTCCAAATAATCTTGAACTGGCCTTGCGTTGTGTGCAGGACATCCTCTTGCTGAAACCAAATTTCCTCAAAATTTACATCCAAGCTGTCACAACACTATTTTGTAATAAATGCAAATATCTCTCAGCATTTAAGTTACCATCAATAAGAAAGGGAACAATATTATCGCCTAAAATGCCAACCCAAACATTTGCCTTTTGAGGGTACTGCGTTCTTATAATGGTATATTTAAATGCTTGTTTTCCCGGGACCAATATCGGACCACTGAAGGATTAGGACGGCCAAGTAGGGAAGAAGATGATTCGTCTGTAAATAAAATCTGCCTAGCAAATTCATTATTTTCATCTATTTTTTCCCTAATGGATTCACAAAACTCCATACGCCTTATTTGATTACCAGGAATAATTTCTTGAGAAGTTTACATTTTATAGGCTTTGTAACCATTCTTTTTTAAGATGCCACGAACTGGGCGACTTGGAATGTCAAGTTCTTCGAAAATTAGCGAGAAAGAACACGGCTCACTTACATACTTCCACAAAAACACAGATATTAACCTCTTTTTCTCTCCTTGCTTCAGGAATTTGACGAGGTTCCTGATTGCTACATTTCGTACACCGATTAACGCATCCACACTCCTCAAACTTATGAAAAATATTCAAAACAGTTTTGGCAGTGGGGACTGGTTCGTCGGGGTATGAAAATATAAATCGACCAACGACTTCCTCTGCGCTTTCTGTACGACAATACCATTTAATAATATTAATTTTTTGTTCGACACTGTACACCATTTTTATTTTAAAAATAAAACTAAACAAACAGCAAAGCACTTTAGGTATTTGGTCTGTTTACAAAGAATGCAACGGGGCATGTGCGCTCCCATAGTCAACCAATTACGAGAGTCCGAGTCGCAGTCTCGATAATATATGTCATGTCCGACCCCTTCCACCCGAAGTTGATAGGGGAGATACATGTAATTCACTTAGTCTATGCGAAAGAATTACCTGGACAGACCGGTATTATGTGAACATACAAAAATGAGTTATTTATAGAAACTTTACAGCCTAGCAGGTTTAATAGCTGAAAATAGAATATTTAAATAATTATTATCAAAATGAACAACATGGAAATCTGACTTGAAAGCTAAGAGGACGCCACCGCCGCGTGTAGTGGAAGTCTGCTTAATGTACCTATCTTGGCGAAAGGCTATGAAGTGGTCAGGTAGAAATTCACTACTAAAAGTGTTATCCCTCAACCAGGTCTCCACAAGTGTAATACAATCGTACTCCAATTTACACTCCAAAACAAATAATCTTCAAGTTTAGTATTAAGACCGCGCACATTTTGAAAGTAATCTGAAAGATGAAATGATCTGCTGGGCTCATCTAGTTTGACGTCACGATCTGAGGAGATTCACGGATATACTTTATTTTTAAATTAGTTTCGCCCTCAGAAATTCTTCGAGATAGTTCATTCTTCAGTTGGCAATAATGTTCCTGTTGACGGGGTATTTTATCTAGCGACACTGATATTTCCCGGTTTTCTCAGATTACTATGCTTTTGCACATTGCGAATTATTTCAGGGGAAAGAAATTCAAAGATAACTTTTTAAATAATTTGAAGTAGAATATTATTTAACAGATTCGCGAAATGCTAACCTTACGTCTATGATACTCTGAGTATGAATTAACTAATAGGGAAATGGCATCATTGCTTATTGTTTGCGGCAAACAAATAAAGGACAGACCTCTCTTAATGATTCCAATACAAATGAGTGAGCAAAATAGTGGGAGGTTAAAATGGTAAGAATAAATAAAGAACTCGCATTCCTTCATTCTCTACTGTACACTCTGTATTAAATAAGAATAAATCACCTGTGAAAATAAAAGTGAACTGAAATATTGTGCTTTAAAAGTATATATCAATTATTAAAAATATTAATATAAAACAACTTGTTTTAAATATCAAAAAATAGGTACTTTTCCTTGTATAGTACCATAAGAGAATAGTTCCATAAAATTTACTTCTGCATTGTTTCCCTCTCCGGAAAAACGTACTGGTAGGCTGATTGGCCGTTTTCAACCACCCAAATAGTTCCATTAGGGCAAGACTGTATAAGTTTTATTCCTTCTCGAGCCACGTGTTCAGGTCTAAAAGTAAAACATCACAATAGTAACGGTAGAAGATAAGATTGATTATACAGCCACACAGAAAAAAAAAGTTGGGTATACTTTTTATGCGACATATATTTTTCGTAGTAATTTGGCCTCCTGAACACGAATCTGGGGTCAGAATTGGCCCATCACGTCACAGTTTTTTCCTAACCTCGAAAAACTTGTGAAAAATAGTGAAAATTGATGAAAATTGACTGGGAAAATTTGGAAAAAAATGTATTTCCACATCAAATAGTACATTTTTATGTAAAAGACTCTGCTGAATTCAAATCCACTGTCAGAATTGAGCTAGAACGTGTGGTTTTTTTTCTAACCTCAAAAAACCGAGCAGGAATCGCTATTTTCAAATTCTGAGCGGATTTTGACCAGATTTTATATAAAGGGGTTATTTGGGTCGCTGATTACGAATATGAATTCACATTGTAAAAATTCAAGATGGCTGATCCAATATGGCGGGTGTACTTTTTTGAAATCCACCGATTTCAGTAAAATTTGGCATCATAAGGATTGCTGGTTGATCTCACCTTCATTAATCACACATCGAGCCAGATTTTCATAAATCAAGGTAAAATTTGTAGGCAGAGTCATAATTTTAGGCCGAGTAGGCGGCATTTTTTCGGCAAAGTCACATTTTTAGATTGAAGGCATAAGCAGATGCAGTGATGCGCTGTGTGGCAGTAATGTGTCCTTTTCCTTGAACTTTAAAATTATTAAGAAATAAAAGCATCTAAATGCCATAGGAAAACTGCATAGTAGTTAAAAAAATCTGATTGAAGAACCATAAGCCCATGCACGACTAAATAAATGAAAGAATAAAGTAGAAACATTTTTGTCTTGTCCCATGGAAACAAGCACATCACACTACACATCATTACATGTGTAGAGTCCTTAAGTCATTTTTTTAATCGAAGTCACATTTTTAGACGGAGTGGAATCTTTTACCTTGATTTATGAAAATCTGGCTCCAGATGTGTGATTAATGAAGGTGAGATCAACCAGCAATCCATATGATGCCAAATTTTAGTGAAATCGGTGGATTTCAAAAAAGTACACCCGCAATATTGGATCAGCCATCTTGAATTTTTTCAATGTAAATTCATATTCGTAATCAGCGACCCAAAAAACCCCTTTATACAAAATCTGGTCAAAATCCGCTCAGAATTTGAAAATAGCGATTCCTGCTCGGTTTTTTGAGGTTAGATAAAAAAACCACACGTTCTAGCTCAATTCTGACAGTGGATTTGAATTCAGCAGAGTATTTTACATAAAAATGTACTATTTGATGTGGAAATAAATTTTTTTCCAAATTTTCCCAGTCAATTTTCATCAATTTTCACTATTTTTCACAAGTTTTTTGAGGTTAGGAAAAAATTGTGACGTGATGGGCCAATTCTGACCCCAGATTCGTGTTCAGGATAAAAAGTACACCCAACTTTTTTTTTCTGTGTGGCTGTGTTATTTACAAGCATATATTCTATAAAATATGGATAATACAGGATGTCCCATTTTAAATAACGCATTCGCAATATCTTCTTAGGGAAGCACTTTTAAGAAAAACGTTTTAAACAAAAGTTGTATAGTAAGGTCAGCCGTAGAGGTCATTTGAAGGTCAACTTGCATTTTTAGATATAAAGCCCCTTTTCTCACATCGGAAATGGATCGATCTGAAAATTATACGTTCAGATATGTCTCTATGTTCTGGAAAGTGACCCTAAAGGGTTATTTTCTGGTCAAATAAGGTTCTGAATAAGATTTTGTGATATTTTTCGGAAAAGCACTTACGACGAAGGATTCTGGTTGAAAGTTTTATGGTTTAATGGGATCATACGATGATGAACTTGACCATGACCTTCAGATAGAGTTTGAAGGTTCTTTGAAGTTACGAAATAAGAGAACCTTGTTTGCAGACCCATTAAGTTAAAGCAAGAGCGTTATGGCCCAGCCAGTCGTGGCAAGATCGCTATAACTCGATCAGTCAAGGCAAGATGCCTATGACCCGGCCATTCAACGCAAGTTCGCTATGACCTGGCCATTCAAGGCAAGATCGCTATGAAACAACCAGTCAAGGCAAGATCGTTATGACCCAGCCAGTTTAGACAATGTCGCTACGACCCAGCCAATCAAGGCAAGATCGCTTCGACCCGGCCAGTCAAGGCAAGATCTCTATGACCCGGGCAGTCAAGGCAAGGTTGCTATGAGCTGACCAGTCAAGGAAAGATCGCTGTGAGTTGGCTAGTCAAGTTAAGATCGCTTTGACCCGGACAGTCAAGTCAAGATCGCTATGACCCGCCAATCAAGGTAAGATCGTTATGAACGAGTCATTCAGTGCAAGCCACTTAAGACGACTTAGTGCCATAATTTATCTGACTAAGTGCTCAAACAAGTTTCCGTTATTATTAATGCATAACTAAACGCGGTTTTAATGTTTCGACGCGCTCTTATTATGTGCTCCATCATATTTTCTCTCGTAATAGGTGCTTCAGCATACACAATATTTTTTAGATAACCCCATAAAAAGAAATCTAAGCTTGTTAGATCAGTAGACCTGAGACCCCATTCTACGAATCCACCACGTGCTACCCATCTATTCCAAAATCTCATATTCAAATAGTCACGAACTCTCCTGGCCCAATGGGCTGGTGTCCCGTTTTTCTGATACCACATACGAAGTCTTGTTTGCAGATCGACATTTTCAAGCAATCCTGATAACTCATTCTACAAAAATTGTAAATAATTCCTCTCAAAGCAATAGGGTCCTATTAAGTTTCCATTCACAATACCATACCATACGTTTAAACTCCAACAATGCTGGTGATTCACTTCACGATGCCAATGCTAATTTTCGACAGACCAATAGTGGCAACAAAACATCTGGATCGCGTTGTACCAATGTTTGCGCCCATCTGCATAACTGAAGTCTCCAGGTAGGAAATCTTGCATCAATGTGATATAATAAGGATGGAATCTGTGATATTCTGTGTGCCGTGAATTTTGGTATTTCCAATTGTCTTTCAATTTCTTGCGGACTAATATGTGAATTGATAGTTACCATACCTACATGCGGATCATCTCTTTCTAGTTTTTATCGTGGAACAGCTGGACGTTGTCGTTCATGTTCTACAATTCTCGCAATGGTATGATCGTTTGGGTGCCTTCAATCAGGAAAACGATTACGATATAATTCAACGGCCTACCGATAATTGCCCCGGCATTCGCCAAGAGATAGAGTAATATTACATCGACTTCGTTAGGCATGTAATCTGGCATTATCTAAGATAAGTTTAATTTTCAACTACTTTTAATTTATTGACTATTAAAAGAGTATTAAAAAAGGAAGGATATAATATACATGACACTCGAATGTTATTTGACAAATAATTCAAACCTGCTAGTTTTAAAGCATACTTTATAAAAAAAAATGATATAATAAAAATATATTTTAATCAATTTAATACAGCTACTGCATTGATATTTATTTTGCAAAAGAATAAGATTTTCAAAAACGATACAAAAGTAGGTTCAGTATCTAAAAGTTACTATTAAAGACTGAAATTACCTTTGAAAATACCGAAAACTCGTATTTTAAGATGCAAATTTAAACATTATTAAATGTGAATGTAACTTCATATCTAAAAATCCAAGTTGATCATCAAATGACCTCTACGGGTGACCTTTGGGTAAATGTCAAGGTCATCATCGAATGTCTTCCTCAGAACCCTACAACTTTTGTCTAAAATTTTTTTCTTAAAAATGGGACACCCTATATAAATATATATTACCTTGGCGTATGTATATACAGGGTGATTCAGGTTTTAAGGCACAAACTGAAATGGGTGATAGATCTTATCATTTTAAGCAAAAAAGTTTATATAAACATGAGTCCGATATCGATCAGTAGCGGAGCTACAGGGGGTCAAAGTTTAATTAATTTTTTTCTATTAATTAAAATATCTCGCTCACTTTTCAAAATATCAATTTAAAATTTGGTGTGGTTAATACTTCCTATAAGGACATCATTTCAAGCATTTTAAAGATTTTTAAAATCTACAGGGTGATACGTTTTTGGGGGTTGAGGCTTCTTTATCCCCCCCAAACTTTTTCGTAGTACGCCTCTGACATCTTCCAGTTAGCAAATTGGGTGGCTAGTTCAATTTAGAGGGTTTTTT